ATCATATGATGATAGAATTAAATATAAGGGTTTGATTAAATATTAGACTATTGTATTTAATTATATATTCATATAATATAAGGGTGTCTCTTCATGATTATTTGGGTAAATATAAGAGTTTGATTAAATATAAGGGTTTGACTAAATATAAGGGTCTGAATAGATACAAGTCTTTCCATATAAGGGTACAGTAAAACAGGTAAAGTCTTAACATGATTATAAGGGCGTTCTTAATAAATGTGTAATAATATAGTCTAAGTGTGCAATAATGAATTTTAAGATATCTATTAATCCAATAAATAGTAAAGACTGTTATCTGGGGCCATGCCACACACTGCGGGAAAACCACTGACCTGAGCCCGGCTCACGCCACCGTGACAAGAACCGCGAGTTGGCCCCGAGCTGACGTCAACCAATTTTCACACGCGGGGGTGACGAACGCCACGGGTTTGCTGAAGCCAACCCTGAAGCCAACCCTGACGCCAACCAATTCATTGAAGTCAGCCACTTATACAGATTTTATACATAGCAACTCGATCAATCCTCATCACTCACGAGTCACTATCCTCATCACTCGCTACCATCAGCATGCCACCCCCAAAACTTGTCATATGCAAGTGCTCTCAATGCTTGATCAACACTTACACCAACAACAACTCACAAACTCAACAAGGAACCTATACCTCGATCCGAACTCGGCAAAAGCACCAAGCCGCCGAGTCAGAGAAACGACAAGGATCCTTGTCAACTGTCATCACTAATTTGAACCTGGATGAAGACCAAGATGATACTGATGATACTGACGAAGATACCGAAAGTGAAGCTTACATCAGTGAGAGTGAGAGCGAAGATGGCAGCACTGGTGTTGTGGTCGAAGGTGAGTAATTGCTACCTCTAACCCTTGGAGCTATTACTTATGCGTATGTGTAGGACATGCATCTGTTTTTTTGGCCTGGCTTCACCTTCAATGCGGGATTAGTCGAGAAAATTGCCGGGCAGCGCAAGACTTTTTGGTCCAGATTGTCGACTCCGCTCAACTTCTTCCTTGTGGGACTAGTGCCTCAAAGTTGATCCCAAAGGACGTCAGGACTTTGATGGAGCGGCTCAATATCATGCCTGAACTCACCAAACAATTATGCAGCCGAACATGTCATACACTTTATTCTCCTCGCAAGTCTCCGATTTACTGCACCTACAAGGCAAGTCCCGCATCAAATCCATGCGGTGAACCACTGTTCAAACAAGGCAATAACTTCCGGCCAATCAAAGACCGAGGACTGTATCACAAGCAACCTTATCGAATGAATCCAAAGGATCTCGTCAACCCCGACATTCCAAAATGTACATATGTTACTCAATCAGTGCTTTCCTGGCTTAGTTGGTTTCTCAAAAGACCGGGTACGGAAGATAGCATTGACGAGTGGGCGAGTAAAATTGACAACACCACTGATCCCGAATTGTTCAATATTCAGCAATCACCAGCGTGGAAATCTTTATTACATAATGCAAATACTACAGAGTCAAACCCCCTCAACCTGGTCATGAATCTCTATGTTGACTGGTTTAACCTGCGTGGAAATAAGATTGCAGGAAAGAAAGAATCGTTGGGAGTTATGGCTCTGACTTGTCCCAGCTTACCACCTTCAACACGCAATTTAATTCCAAGCACTTGTATCGCTGGAATCATTCCGGGACCTCACGAACCCAGTATGACAACAATCGATCATGTGATGAAACCTTTGGTCGACGAATTGATAGAACTTGAAAGCGGTGTCCAAATCAAAACTTACAAGTTTCCTGAAGGTCGACTCGTTCATGTTAGGCTCCTTGCGCTCATTGGCGACATAGTGGCGGTTCATAAGTGTGCGGGGTATGCATCTCACTCAGCCAACTTGTTCTGCTCGTGGTGCCATTGTACCCAAGAAGAACGAGTCCAACTTCTCCTTGGTAACAAGCGAACTATAGATGAAGTTTTGAAGCGCCAAGGCATGGAACAAAGCAAAATCGTTGACTGACAAAGACACCCTGTTGACGGAGTTTGGAATACGACACTCTTGTCTCAACATGCTGACATACCGACATCCAGTTGATCATGTACCCCTTGGTATCATGCATAATTGGCTCGAAGGCGTCCTCCAGCATCATTTCAGAGTTCGATGGGGGTTCAAAGGAAAAGACAAGAAGACTGAAGGTAAACACAAGGCGGTGGAAGATGTCAGTGATGGAGACGATAGTGATATGGAGATGGATGGCGGGTGGGATGAAGATTTTGATTTGAAGGCCGGTACTGACTCAAGCTTATTCTTGGAGCGTGAGCTGAAAGAGATTCGTCGCATGCTGAAGGATGTCATGCTGCCGTCTGGTGTCGAGCCAATCCCTAAAAACCTCGGTGATGTGTCTCACGGGAAGCTTAAAGCAAGTCAGTGGAAGTCACTCTTCCTTTATGGCATCCCGCTTGTCATCTTGGAACTTCTTGTCCTGGATGTGGACGACTTTCCTACTCTTTCAACTCACCATACGATTGTCAGAAATATAGCCAGCTTGGTCCGATGTACGCAGATGGTCTTCGCAAGGAAAGTTTCTAAATACAAAATTGACCAATTCCGCCAAAGTTATGCTACATATGGGCAGACTTCGGCTCAACTTTTCAATAACATCAGAGTCGTCCCAAATCACCACTATGCCTTGCATATACCCGATATGATGCAATATTGGGGGCCTTTGATGGGTGTCTCTGAATTCGCGGGCAAACAGATCAATGGCTTGATGCAAAAATTCAAGACGAATCATTTGCTGTGTAAGTATCTCATCTGCCTCACTCGCGTGTATGCCTAGACCTACTGACCCTGGGTTTCATCTTAGCTCAGATGGATGGGACAATGATGAATAAAATATGTGCACTTCAACGTTTCACGGCGAAATATTCGGTCCCAACTCTAGAGACAGAAAAACGAGATAAATCGACAGAACAAATTTGGATCTCAGAAGATTTGTACATGAAGTTTCTAGCCCTTGTAAATCTCAAACATCCCGAATTGCAAAATTATCACAAATACCCACACCCTTTGGGTTCAAAAGTGTTGCAGCCGTTTGCCACACCAATTGCTAAGTTAACTATAGATAAACTGTCACATACAGTTGGGATCTCACCAATGCAGCCTAATAATTGTGTGATGTATAAGAAGCAACGGGAAAGGGCTCGTTACGCAAAAATTGTCCAGGTCTATCGATTCGACGACGGGATCAGTGGGATTCGGGAGGTTGTGCTGGTGGAGACAATCACTGATGTCTTTGGTATGAGGTTAGAGGTACCTTCTCAAAATTTTCGATGCTACCTCCATTTGATGGGTTGTATCATAGGGAAAATAGAAACAGAGGCGACCGAATTGATTGATCCAGTTGACATCATTTCGACCGCAGCTTATCGCATCTTACCGAATCATACTTTTGGGTTACCTGATGGTGGCATTATACTAAGCCCTATCGTGTTTTGAAATCAAATTTAGTCAATATTGATGACGTGTTGGTTTCTTCATTGTTTCCTTTTTTCATCTTCTTCTGGTTTCATTGTTTGACGTTCCTCCAAATTTGTATT